TTTCCATTCAGCCGATATCATCAGTTATAATTATTGGAGAAACTTGAAGTTTGGCATAAAAAGCAGCCAGGGTTAAATCTATCTGACCAATAGTTCATTGTGACCAATTCAGAGTCGAAGGGAAAGTCAGTTCAAGGTCTTTCAAACAAACGTTTGTTTATACGCTATTCATAAAATGTGAACTGCTTGCTGGACTTAGTTTAACCTTGGTAGAGGTGAGATGTTGGAATGATTCTTCCTAATTGAGCGATCTCAGAATAAACAAGGTTCAGTAAGAAGTTTTAGAATCCTATCTAAAAGAACTAGAAATTACATTCAGATCTCGGATTAAGGGAAAGAATGTTAAAGGTTATACCTAGAGAGCGGACCTACCTTACCAAAGAAGCTACAGATGGACGGAAACAGGTCGCGTTCAGTTCGCGTTAGACACAATTTGAACAAAGAGAATATCGATTGCGAGTCTCAACAACTCACCAAGACCTCGATATCATGACGTAAATGTGTCAAAAAGACTTTGGGTTTCACGTGACGTCACAAAATCTAAAAAACTACAAACATAGGTTTGCCCATAAGGCAAAAGACCTTCAGGTTGCGCTTTTGATCAGTTTTCAGTGTAGTGTATATTCTATTAATAAATACCTACCTTCTCCCCTTTCCTTCCACCCTGAAATTAGGTTCAGGAGAAAAAAGACTGTCCTTGAGCAACTGTCCTTGGTATTTTCGAGTTTTTTATCGTTTTCAACACATGCACCTTACAACATACCTTTTCTTTCATTAGTGATGTACGTGACAGGCTCAACAGTTTACGAAACACGCTATCGTTTCTTCTTCTGTTTTATGAAATCGTGCTTGTGCAAATATTTTGCAAGAAACATTCAAGGAATTAACATTTTTCAATTTTTGTTTTCTTCTTCAAGTCAGTTTCTTACAAGAAAAATAGAAAATGTCAAATCATCTTTGAACGTGCGATATGAGCGTGTTTTGATAACTAAAAGGCTCTCCTTGTTATAGTAATGCGCGATTAAGTAACAGTCCCATAAAAGTTTTGCGTTTGTCTCTGAGGGCTCCAACAAAAACCAAACAAAGTAACAGTCATCGTTCCTTGTAGAACTCGAAAACTGAAACGCAATTTTGGAAAACAGCGCTAAGCGATTGAGCAGTCAATCCATTACATAGTACATCGAACCTTCGAAGATCGAGCTCAATCGGCCTCAATTCGTGAATTGAATTTGATCGAATTCGGGCTATATAAAGTCTATAAAACTAGATCGAGCATTGAAACTGTCGCACTCAAACGGCCTCAATTCGTGGATTGAATTTGATCAAATTCGGGTCATAAAGTCTATAAAACTAGATCGAGCATCAGTGAACCTATTGCACTTAATCGGCATGCAAATCGAACTCAATCCATAAGATTGTGTTTGATTAAGTTTGGCAATCAAAGAAAATATTTTATCACACTGTTATTAATTCTGGTACATGTAATCATTCAGTGTAGACTCAGTAATAGTAACTGAAAAGTCCTCCTAGAATTAATCTGGCTTCAAAGTTTTTAACACATTACTCAAAGGAATGACAAGGAAATGACTTTGATCTGACCATCGGGACAAGTGTAAAATCATAATACTTGAGTGAGTGAATATGTGCTGAAGTTTTTCATTATGTCAGTGCTCATGATGATATTTAAATTTTCTTAATATTGCGATGGTTATGTATCCAAGGAGCACCTGCTCGCTTTCCATGAAAGCTATTGTGAAACTTTTCAATTAACATGGTATGACTGGTATCGGATGTCATTTTCTGAACTTTGTGGCGAAGACAGTTGACTATTCCTACAATATCGTTATGTTTGCACTGTTTTGTAAAACCGAATGGAGGATTCTAGCTATAATCTTCAATTACATACTCATCAAAAGACCATTTTTGAGAAAATTTCAAACGGAGGAAGGATACTTAAATAATATGTCAAGTTCTACTCCACCTGTACTTGAAAAAAACTAGCCAGTCAGTTATTCTGATTAAAAAAATTGTGTCATAGACAGATATTGAAACTTCAATACCTAATTACCACCTTCTTGAGTGGTAATTAAACAAATCGCGAGCTCATTGCTGAACATTGAGAGAAATAAACTTGAGAAAACTGAAATTTACAAACAGACACACCGAAAAAGGAAGCATAACGTTCGGTAATTTCTTCACTTTTGACCGAAGATCTAACAGAACTAAACCACATAAATCACACCCAGATTTAGCCTGAAAAAGCAATTTATGGTTACTTTTTCTTCTGTGCCTCAGGGTGAAATTGAACTTTTGATGTGTCAAATGTGACCAAAATAATCTGAATAGAGTGATTTAGAGATAGAGGAAAGGAAAAAAAAACAATTATTTGTTGAGAAGAGCTCGAACATCTTTGATTGACAACGGTTGGCGATAGGTTCTTGTTCAACATTTTAATGAGCTTTTCTTCAGTTGTCTCCAGCTGGGTTTTGATGATTTCTCTGACTTGCCAAGGTGAACACAGTTCAGTAAAGCATTCATCGGTTCAATTAGATCGACGCAAAATTTAACTGAAACATACCCTAGCCAACTTAAAAAAGCCTCAACGACGGATGACAAGGATGTAATCAGATGTGGACATTAAAAATGACGACGCCTATCTGACTCTGATATCAGTTCAATGTATCATTTGTCCAAGAAGAAACAAAAAAAATCGTTCGCTTTTGATCAGAATCCGCCATTTATCAACAAGGCAAGCGCAGTTGGTTTTCGAGTGGCTTGGCGGAAATTTTGTATCTTATTTCTCATAAAAGATGGGAGATTACTTAAAAAAAGCGACTGAAATGTTAAATTGCGAACTTTTTGTGCTGTTTCCATTGAATACAGATGCTGATAAATCGTCGCCACTCCCCTCTTAAAATCTCTTACAATGAAATCTTCTACCATCACTTACTATTACCTTTATATAAGTCAGAAATCTTAAGATTTTTGCTGAGCTGTGGTCAATCTAACATTGTGAAAGCGGTGCCTCAAACCAAAACGGAGTGGAAATTTACCAAACTGTAAACGTGTAACTCACTGAAGAATAAAACTGAGGCAGTGGCTGATGTAAGCTATTCATATTTGTTGTTTTTTCTCAACAGAGGATGGTCTATCTGATTACTCTTTATGATTGCTTATTTCATGACAGAGGGTCTCCAATAGGTTTTTCGGGATCCGGGATTGGGTTTATTTAAAGACCGGGATCCGGGAATTTAAAGTAGGAACGGAGCGAGATGCGGGATTGCTAATATGAACAGGACACGGGAATCGGCGATTTTAAGGAGCAGGATTCAGGAAGTGATCACTTAAACGAACTGAGAACCGGGATGTCCATTGACATATATTAAGAAATTGATCTTCTCAGTCACGAAAAGCACCAAGCATACAGGCTCTCTAGCATTCAAGAGGCGGTCGGGCTGCTCAGCGACACTCTTTAGTTATTACGCGGGGATGAAAATTATATCAGAAGCGAAGTTGCCAATTTATCAAAAATCCTCAATGGCCCACAGAGTAACGGCGTCTTATACTTAACGGCATTAAAAAAACCTCCAGCAAGTCTCAGAATTATACCGATATGATGCTGTTAACCTGTTGAGTTACATGACATCAGAGGTGAAGAATATTCACTCGGTTGTGCATCACAAAGATAAACTTTTCACGGTGTTAGACTACCTAAGTAACTCTGTAGCCAAAGAAGACAACCTTTCATGAAGACAACCTATTGGGCGGTGTACTATTTAACAAATCCACATTCTTGGTATCCTGTACCTGAACGTGCCAGGATCCTGTCGGCCATACCAGCAATTAAACCGTTACCACCTGTGCCGATGGCACGACAGAGCATATAGAAGACGAGGGAGTGGGCGTAAGCATTCATTGCAGCAGTGCGTCAGCTCTCTGTCAGACAGGAAACAACGATGGCAAGAGCTGGAACTTCCCGTCATACCTCTATCAGAGAGAAATTCAGCCGGTCGAACCGGTCGGCCTCGAACGCTCTGACTTCGAGGAGCAGCAAGAAAACAGCGGGAAACAAGACGAAAAGGAAGATGGAACATTGGAGTACGATTCCCCGAATGATGATGATGACATTCTATCTTTGGAACGAGAGGCTGATTTTTACCTCGGAAGAGGTTTCCGCTTCGGAAGAAGTATTCGCTTCAACAGCAGAATCGTGTTCGGTTAATTTTTTTTTATCTCCGTTGTTAAGGAACTATGGGATTGCCGTGACCTTTTGTGTTTTATACACTTGTTGAAATTGTCATTCGTTTCTTTGATACTGACCTACCTGTACCTATACGTTTGTAAGTTTAATGAAAGGAGGCCGTTACCGTTATTAGGGCAAAATTTGAAAACTTCTTAAATGAACAATATCATCATTTTGGTGAAAAGAGATAAACTCACGCCCTACAGTGACAATAGACTTCAACGGATCAATGCTGATTAAGAAAATCATCACCCACCGGAAAGAACCTTCTAAGTTTAGGAAATGGGCTAAGTCAAAATTGTATGATCGGGATCGGGATTGGCCAGTATGAGCCGTCGGGATTATGGGATTGAGAGAAAATTTTAGTCGGGATCGCGGGATCGAAGAACCCTAACTAGAAACCCTCATGACAGGATGTCAAATTGCAAACTGTGAGCTGCAGGCAGGGCTTTGAAAAAATGGCGTAACACGGAGAGGATTGTCGAATGTTATTCCACTAACCCAGCTGGCTTGGTTTCCATTCTTAAAATTAATAGGCTATGAAGTATATCGTGAATTTATTTTTCGTTAATGTCTTTGTTGTCACAGCATGTCAAATTAATATAGAACTGGTACTTATGGAACGTTCTCCTCCTCCGTTGTAATAGTCCGAGAGAGATTGGTATTAGAATATGTGACGTAGTATCATGTGACGAAGCAATCGAATGTTCCCGCCATTTTGTTATAATTAGTGTTTTGATGTTTCCGTGTGGAAAAAATGGAGGCTGGAGTGCTTGAGGATGAAGTTGTGTCGATGGTAGACGTTCTGGATGAAGATAACGAACTAGAGGAGGAAGCAAGAGCTGTTTTAGGGGACAGCGACGACAAAAACTGCACTTACCTTTCCGTAAGTTCTGTTTGTGTGATCAAAGCTAAGGTTTGTGATTTTTGGGTGCGATAGGTCTCCCTCTGATAGAGTAAATACAGAGGTTTACAAAACCTTTGACAAAATATCAAAATATCGGCCTCTATGATACTATTTCCTTCGCGTTGAGATCAAAGTCAGTGGAAAGTTTTCTGGGATAACCTGATATATTTTTAGACCACACATGTAGTATGAAAGCTGACATCTATTGATCGTGGCCAATTCAACACTCTAAAAAAGAAAGGTGAATTCTATGGGATGTTTTCAACTTTTACAGCGTTAAAGAAAATTTTGTTGTTCATTAAGGGTATTTTAATGGTAATTGAACTGAGTAGAGCGATTTGGTCCTTCCAAGCTCTTCGGTATTCCTTCGGTCTACTAAATCTCCTTTCCAACTCAACATTTAGATAAAGGTTGGTTAAATGCAAGAAGATTTAATTTTCAACGCGATTTACAAAATATGGCTAAACACTTCTCTAGTAAATCGAAGAGCTCGTGTATGCTTAAATCGTGGTGATACAAACAAGTGCTAATAAACTTAAAAGCACACGGTTACATTTTGCTCTGAAGTTTTTTTAATTCACCGTGTTTTCAATACATCCTCAGAAATAAAAGATTAATTTTTTTTGGAAATTTCTATCAGTCTGAATTCTACTTCTTTAACTAGAAGGTTTCAAAAATGCAATTTTTGACCTTAGAAATGGGGAGTCAACTTGTACACGGGTAAATACGGCAGTATACATACATGTATATCCCTATTATTTGCAGGGGTACGTGAAGAGGCAAGCTCTCTATGCCTGTTCAACATGTTCTCCACCAGATAAAGAGCCTGCTGGAATATGTCTGGCTTGTACCTTGGCTTGTCACGATGGACATGTTCTGTATGAGCTCTACACCAAAAGGTAGTCAGTAAAATTTACCATAACATTCCTCACAGAATATTTATACATTAAAGGTTCTCAGTGAGAATCTGAGTTCATGTAGATGGCAAAATTGATGAAGGAAGCAGGGGATGGATAACTTGTTCAGTAAGCATGACCTCTGAGGGGGGTCTAGATACATGAGAAATTCCTTGTAAAATTCCTGAAATTCCTTCCTTCTTCCAGTTAAGCAACAAGAGATTATTGTACTTTCAGAAGTTAGTTGTTACTTGGCATAAAAAAAATATACAGGTAATAATTATTTTTAATAAATGAGTAAATCGAATGACAATAACAATCAACCTACTGATATACCCTGAACTTTTTCAGAAATTTTCAGTGTGACTGTGGAAATAAGAAGTTTGGCGGGTTCAAGTGCAAGTTGTACTCAGTAAGTTGTTGACAGCTGATGCACTTCTGGTGTAACCACACCTTGAACATCTAATCTTACTAGGCATTGAAAGGCATGCACATGCTGAAGTCTCAAAATTTCATGATGTCACAAAAGTGCAAAAAAAGGAAATTAGTGTTTTTCTAGTGTTTCCTTAAAGGCTTTGGTTGAAATTTGCAATTTGCATTTTACACAGCTATGTAAATAGGCAGAAAATTTATGAATTTTTTTTCAGTCTATGATGTACTCATATGACCTAAAAAGAAATCCAGGGTGCATGATTATTGTTAACTTTCACTGCAATTGCCAGGAACACAAAACCTAATGTTAAACAAATAGTTTGTTCAAAGCTCTTCATCCATCAAAAGTTGCATATATTTTAGCTACTTTAGAGAGCCACCTTGATTAGGTGTGTTAAGAAGTTTTACATATCTGCAAGAAAAGGGAGACAAAATTTAACCCTAAAAAATGCCTTACTGCTATTCAGGTAGTGCTTGATTGCCACTTGAGAAGCCCACCATCCGCAATTTTGCAAGACACTCAATTTAAAGAAGCAAACAAAACCCAAGTCAACTATTTGAAAACTCTGGGCAAAGTAAATGTATTTCGTTAACCATGTGATGAGTCATTTATTCATAATTTTGTTTAGATCATTTTGTATTAATCATTGCCATTTTGAGAAGCCTGTTTTATCAAACAAACTTAATGTTATGCCATAACATCTCAAACATGTGGAAGGAAATTTTTAATGATATGCACTACTGCCTGAAACCATAGGAACATTGCTCTTGTGTTTGGTTTCTGAACAGTGATGAAATGATGGCTTTTTGTCACGGCTGCAAACAAACAAAGCAAAAGACAAAGCCCAGACAGAAAGGGAGCAAATTACTGGGAGTTTGTGCTCTAATGGTTATTTTGCAGAATAACACATTTACACATGTGTCTTGTGATTGATTGTTAGGTCTTACTTGTTGTTCACATTCTTATTATTCAAGGAAAAAGGACCAGAGAATTCTATGAACAAATACAATCAAAATTTCAGAGGAGTTTACTGCACCTGTCACAGACCATATCCTGATCTGGAGGATGAGGTACAACTTTATACTTGGGTTTACTCATGCTGATATTCCAGAAATATGATCCATTTGAGATAAGCATTTTAGGAATTGTCCTGTAAGCTTTATGTACTAGGTCACTGACTCAGTTTGCTTATAGAGGGTTTTTAAAGATGTATGTGTTGAAAGGGTACATAGTATGTTTTTCTGTTTTTCTCCAACCTTCTTCCTGCACTAACACTACAGGGTGGATACTTTATATGGAGCAACATACCTATACTCATGAGAGATAAGACACTATTAGTACCTTAGGTCTTTGATTCCAAATGAATACATGTAACCCAAATTTTTTTGATATGATGTCTGATGGAATTTATGATTCTTTTTTTTTTTCTTTTTTTGTTTTCTTTCAAAAACCCTTGTAACACCAGTGTAAAGGTTTTGATTTTTTCTTAATTAGTTTAAAATTTCTTTTGATATATGTCAATTACAGATTGAAGATGAAATGATTCAATGTATCATTTGTGAGGACTGGTACCACTCAAGGGTGAGTGACACAGAGAGTCCCTCAATCTAAAAAATTTGCTGTTCGTACAGAGGAAATTATCCTGAAAAATGAAACTCACTCGTTCAGCATTTGACATGACAAAAATTAGTATATTATCAGCACAAACTATTTCCCATCATAAATTTTAGTCATGCCAAACCAAGAATTTTTTTAGGGAAACTGAAAACCTATTATTTGATACACCCAAGCAGAGGTCAGGGTTGAAATTATGGAGAGGTTTGAATGTCTTTGACCAGTGAAACAATAGGCTCCAGTATCCATTCCTTGGATACTGGAAGCACACGGGACCTCTAAGTTGGGTGAATGATGACTTAGATATCTTATGGTAAGGGAATAGTCTGGTTCTGTACTTTCACTTCTAATTTTAGAGTGTTTCACATCTGTGTTGTTTTTCAGCACTTGGGAAGCCTTCCACCAACAGGAGGTGAATTTCAAGAGATGGTATGCGATGATTGTATGACAAAATGCAGCTTCCTTCAAGCTTATATCTCTCTCTCAGGTGAATTGTAGCCACTGATTGTTTTTATTCCTGTTTTATCTTTTTGGCTTAGTGGCTTACCTAACAACGCATTTGACATTAGAAATAAATAATAAAATCAGGTTTATAATTATAGTTTAGAAGTGATTTAAATGCCTTTCAGTTAAAGGCTTTAGTATTCTTTTCTCAGTCAGAGCAGAAAATGTGTCTGGTGATGTGACCATTCCTCATATGCCATTGCATACGCATATACACACATGACAAGAATTGATTTGCACTCAGTGAATTAATATGACCATAATGCTGAGTAGCATTTCTTAACTTCCTGATATGATGATAGTGCCACAACAGCAGTCTTCAATTGGCCCCAATCAACAAGTGGATATTAAGCAGGAAACAAAAAGTAAACTTGATATTGAAAAGCTAAGTGACTCAGGTAGAGGAGACAAATTGGTGAGTGAGAAAGGATATCATGATTCCATGGGCAGTGGCGAAAGAAGTGGCCATCAGGATTGCTCCAGGCTGGTAAGAGAGTTTATCACAGTCAAATTATCCTGATTTCACTACTGTTCAGTACTACATATAAAAACCACATTCTTGTTCATAGTTTGGGTTAAAATCCAGAATGCAACTTCCATATCAAACCATCTTCAAATGTTTTGATAACGAGATAAGAAGACCCATTGAGGTTATGATACAGTAATTGAACCATGTAGACATACTGATCTTGATCCATTGAGGCAATAGAAAAATTTGCATTGAAAGAATGAAGGTGGAATTTTTAAACATAATTGTTTCTAAGCAAGCTCAATGAGTACTAATCAATCCTTGCTCTAGACATAGCTTGAGAGTGACACTTGCAGCTATTTAAGTGAAACCTGGATAATCATTCTCTGCAAGAAAAATTTAATTGGCAGCACTTTTTTTTCAGGGAATATGACAGACACTTTTTTTTCAACACTTGTATTGCAAACGTTGACGTAGTGTTACTTCACCCATCCTCAATACAAAGCTATAATTTGATCAGTAGCACAGACTGAAGGTTCTGGTCTATAGTGTCGCATTCGAGTGTGCATTAAAACTTGTCTTCCTTGTGTTCCATTTTGTGTGAGTCACCAACAAGTCAGATGAGAGGAAAAACAACTCTTATTTTGAACTATTAGAATCAATGTTTGTCAATTTTTCCATGTTTGAAAATCAACTTTCACAGTGATTTACCTATCATTTTACATTTAACCCTTTACACCCTAACATTAGTATACATATTCTCCTCACTCTTCTTTGTACATTTTCTAAGGTGGTGACAAGGAGAATTTGTTTGCCAATCAAAGGGTTCCTTCCCTGGTGTCCACTTCCTTTATTCTTATGACCTTAATGTGCAATTCAGGAGTGATATTGCAGGAAGAAATTAGATGTTAGCCACTCTTAGGGTTTAATGGGTTAAGAGACAGTTGATCTGAATTGTGGAAAATACAGTTGCCTAACGTTGTACATTGTCTAGTGACAAGTGAGAACACAACCATTTCTGTAACATGTTTTCTGGGCTAAAGGGACTAGAATAATCAATAGATATCCCTGTACTGCCAATCTTCTAATAAAATTATGATCCAACAGAGAACGTAAAAACTGTGCTTGGTATTCTCCAGAAGATTCTGGTTTAGAAATTCTCTTGACACTAATTTCTTTGGAGGGGTTAGAAAATACAGATTTTGAATGGTAGAAAGTTCAGGAGTGTTCTTTTAAGGGAGGTTAGGTGTCCTTCTTTTCAGTGGAGGTGTCTGTTACGATATAATTAACTGCATAACTACTTTAGTTCTCTCTTTCAGAGTATCATCTTGTTAGATTCAGATATTTAAGGTATATAGTAAAACTCTTGGCAATAAATGTATTTTCAATGTTGAATCAGTGATTAATTCTTATTCTTTGTTGTAGGATACATCCCAAACACCTCACTCTGATTCTCAAAAGCCAAATTGCTCAGGCAAATCAGACATAGTAACGACTGTGGGAAAAGCGAAAAAATTCACTGCAGATGACTGTAATGCCTCAAAACTTGAAAACTCTACGGCAGATTGCAAGCTTTTTCAGCTTCAAGCAAGTGTGACAACAGTCGAAAACAGAGCAACCTATTGGCATACTGGGTGGCGGTCTAACTTATGCAAGTGTGATAAGTGTGTGGTAAGGATGTTATTGAATGAAATAATTCTACACCCTAGCTGTCAAAATTCACAGTTTTTTTACTTGGCAAATTAGAGTATGACAATTTAGCTTATAGTCCCTTTATAGATCATTGGATGTATTGTATCTGACTGATGAATCTGACACAATGGTTGCCTATGAGCAGAGAGGCAGGGAGAAGATATCCAGTGTTTCATCATATGAGAGTGGCATGCAGGCGCTACAGAACATGGCGCGTATTCCACAAGTGGAGGTCATGCATGGTGTGTGGATAAAAATCTTGAATTGAAATTAAGTAGTACAACTATATTATGATGTTTTATTATTATTATTATTATTATTATTATTATTATTATTATTATTATTATTATTATTATTATTATTATATGTACCAGCAATGATGTATTCAATGCAAACCTCAATGCGATTGAGAGTGGTAAGACCAAAATTAAAATTAATTTTAAATACCACGCTAGACTATAGTTCCACGAGTATAATTATTCTTTCAAAAAGTGTACGTGTTGTCGCGGTTCGTTTACTACCATTTTCTAACTACTATGAACATCCTGGCTGCGTACTGACACGCTTGAAAACTTAAAGATTGTCTTGACAAAACGTCACGTTTTACCACCGACTCAAATTGTAAAATATGATCGGCCAAAAAATTCGCAAGATCACCTCCATCTCCGGTCACCGAAATAATGGAAGATTTTACCACAAACGTGAACCTGCCCCTTGCTGTTGACATTCATTGCATATAATTGATCGATATGTTTCAAGTGTAAAAACGCATAGCGCGGTCAAAACTGGACACATGTGAAAATGCGAGGGCTTCGGGGTCTTCGTTTGTCACGTTTCTCCGTGTCTCGCCGTCTTCATTTTCGCGGCCTCTTTTATTACTTCTCATATGGGTGTCTGTTTCATACAGGTTTTGCTTTATACCTAATAATACTGTAAACAAAGTGCTGTGATATTCAATATCTATGCTGCTTGGGTTTGCTTTACTGCACTTTTCTTTTAGTCAAGATAACTTGCACTATCCTTCAAACCAATGAGACGTAATACTTACTACGAAACACTTCTCGATCTCTCTAGTTTCAGGACGTTCAAGGCAGTGTCCCGTTTTACTCTGATCTCCTATTTGTTCCTTGTTTTAGTTTCATTCCATGTGATTGTGATGCTAGACTACTAGGTCTTCATGTCTTTCGTAGTTCTTTACTTACACTGGTTCGTCTGTTTGTAGGTTACAATGATATGAAAAACGAGCTGACAGAGTATCTTAGAGGGTTTGTGGAACAAGGAAAGGTAATCTACAAGTAGAGAAGTAACCGACACTCACGTACGCAAAGACATAATACTGAAACGAAACTGATGGCTTTTGACAGACTTTATTGAAATGGAATGGTTATGTTGAGGATTGCTTTGCGGTATTTTGAAATTACCTACGTATTTGTAATAGGTATACTTGCATTTTGTAACAAAACCGACCTATGAATTTTGTATTAAGGGTTGCAGCATTTTGAACTAATCGTCGGTCTACGCAATTTATGACAACACCTCAACGCAAATTGTAATAATAAATATCAACTTGTCACAAAGATGAATAAAACGACGCGCTTGCCTGTCCGAAGGTGTACCGTGCTACCTTAAAGTGAACACTGCATTAAAGCTGAAGTATTTTTCTTGTTTCTCTTTTTCGTATCGGCAGGTTGTGAAAGAGGAAGACATCAGAAACTTTTTTGACACACTTCAGTCTCGTAAGAGACAACGAGTCGGGAGTGAAGATTCTATTCAGTACAGATGTCGCTAATAAAACAGCAAAACACATACTGCTATAATTGAATGAGGCGACACAGAATCACAGCATGCACAAGATTAAGAGTTAGTGATACACTTAGGCTTACCTCTCACTAAAATACCTTGTGAACAGGCAATACTGTCAACTGTTAATGAATTTTTCTGATAGTTTCAAACGTTACGTACAATAGCCGTAAGGTGACGTGTCTTATCGTGTAACGAAGTTGTAGTTTAAAGTACATCATGCTAAGTACTGAATTAAAATGGTTTTTGCGGCACCTTCAAGCAAGCGACTTGTTTTGGTTGCGTTGTAATTATCAGGTGCTGAGATTGTCCGATGAACCCCTATAATACCTCTCAACTCAAGAAGGAGAAAAACGAGCTCTGCAAGACTCCTAACAGGACCAACAGAGCCGGGGATGGAAAACGCCTTTTCCAGAACTTGATTTCATTTAGAAGCGGGAATATGTGTCCAAAACCCCTGGCCTTGTAACTAAGATAAATTCACCTCGATATTAGACTATGGTTTTTAACAAAGAGCAACTGAAAAAGCGCCTGAACTTTACATGATCGGTTCCCCTAAAAAAAAAGACAACAATCAAACAAACAAAACAAAACAAATTAAGCTTAGTTGTAAACAGTGTTTTGACGCAGGCATTGTTTCATTTCTTCAAACCTCAAAATCCTTACCCAGCTGAAGTTGTGTATAACTATGCTCACAGCCGTATATTTTTAGCCAGTGCGTAGTCCATTCAACACAATCAATTCGCATTTCACCTCGTGACACATACCTCGATAAAGAACATCGAGTAAACCGGGCAAGTGTCTATTTAAGACTGGTTCCGGTTTTATTGTTACAACGATGTTTTCCTAAGATAATGTCACTTTTGAAACCTAACTTACAGCTAAAAAGTCTGGTAACTAATATTTTCTTCTCGATGCGTAAGCGGACAAATTCTACAAATTCTAATCTGATTGGTTCCGAGAGCGGGCTGTATTTTCCCATCCAACCTGCTTCCAGCGGGCGGTATCATAACCCTTGCTTGTTGAGTTGCAGAGTACATCCCTAGTTTCGTTGCAAATTTTCATAAATACATATTCTTTTGCCGGCTGGGAAGCATTTTTAAGCAAAAACTTCAATCACGACCTTAAAGCGAAATACAGCTTGTTAATTCTCTCCTCTCTCTCCATCTCTCTCTTCCGCAGATTGAAAGTAGGGCACTTTTGGTAATCTCAAGTCTCCCGAGCACATCTTATTCAGAAATGATTACTTCAGCGATTTTTGAGTTTGGCACGAATGTCTGTCGATTATTTTATAATCGTAGAAAATTTTATAGCGCAGCAGTATATTTTCAATTTTTTACAATTTTTAAGCGCGTTCAAGGGTACGTAAATGCCCTATGCCATAGAATCATAATTTTATTGCCCTGAAAGTCAAATTTTGCGTGGTTTGCTGGGTATCCATTTCATTTAGCATATTTTGGTCATTCCCTCACTTTCCACCAGTTAGCTCGTCCCAGAAAATGCGAGCTAAAGAAATGACCTCAGAGTGTATGGTTCGTCATCGACCTGTCAGATCTTCGAAACGACGTAAAATTGCAAAAAGCTACTTTTGAGCGGCGAAGCTTATTTCGTGTCTCAAACACAGCTTTAGCGATTAAAACTATACCTGCGTGCAATACAGTGTTTTTGCATTATATTGACCAAAAAAGTTTCAAGAAACTGTCTTTTCGTTTGTGAATTATGTCATTTCAAAAAACAGCGATTGATTTGGCATTTATGTAACGTGCCGCTTTACATAAATGCCCTTTTTCGAAACTAAACTTTAAATTTAAAAGTTTCTTATCTTTCGAAGCCCTTTGATAAACCTCACATCTTTAAACATAAACTGAAGAAGATGCTTTCATTGTAAGTGGATAGTTAAGGAAAATACATCTTCCTAGATGCCGTAAAGAAATGAATTCGTCCAATGTAGCCTACAGAGTGCGCTAATCGGATTAGCGCACCTTGTTCATGTTCATCGCATATCAAATCCCGATTACGCAGTTGGTTGCAAAGACTTCATCTTACCAGTAAACATGTTTTCAGCGGTAAAAAAAGCAAGATACTTTCTGATTTACATGAATCACTATTTACTCTTATGGGTCATACCCGAAGGGAGTAGGTAAGGGTGGGGTGGGAAATGGGGTTGTTGGCAAGAAGGCACATAATTCTGGAACAGCTTCACACAACTTTTAAAATGTATGGTGTAACGTGCTGGAAAATATTAAAATCACTTCCAAAAAGAAGCTTTTTGTTCCAGCCCTCGATCGCCTTGAGAGCCTGGAACAGGCCACTTGGAGGTAGAATACTTGCCTCTCGTAAAACTATCCGATTTTTAAAGCCAAATGGCTTATTCATCCGATCGGTTCACACTGATCGCCAAATTGAGTAATTACATTGTTTTCATTTGTCTTTTTTAATCAACATTACAAACGGAAGGTTAATTTTTTTTCTTTCAACATAGAATATACTTTTCACAAAACGACTGAAGACCAAAATTCCGTTAATGACGTGATGATACAGTGGTAAAAAAGCGAGTTGGGAGAGTTTCGCGCTGCTACCTATTAAAGGGCTGTAAATCAAAAGTGATTCATCTCCTACGCCACTTGAGAGATGTCCACAAATGGACCAAGGAAAAGGCAAAGAAGGCCACCTCCACATTTGGATTAAGGAAAAGCTTCCAACCAAAACTCAATGAAAACCTGTACAGCAATCTCCTACGAAAACTGTACAGGAAAAGAAAAGAAAAGATTATCACCGACATCGAAGGTGTCCTATAAATGGATGCAATTCAGTTGATAAGCGCCTGGCAAATCATATTCAGCAGGTCCACAAAGAGATCAAAAAGGGTTCTCCTGTTGACAAACAGATATTAAGGGAAGCCCGCTCCCTCAAGACCTGGCAATCATCCCGCAAAGCACAAGGCCTCCCCAGTGTTAAAGGTGAAGGCTCATTCAGCAATTCAACAGAAGAGGGGAGTATGGGGGATAGCTCTGTTCAAGATCTGCCACATCTAAGCCAATACGAAGAAGAAGATGATGAGGTGCAGGAGGTTGAAAATGAAGAAACCGAAGAATTACAAGAAGAAGAGGAAAAGGCTAGATTTTTAAGTCATTTTGCTGGTCCCTCCTTCCACCATCCGCTGTTTGCAGCCACACAAAAATGGCAAAACAGCATTGCTCGCAGTTGCGCAAGATCCTTTCCATAATTTATCTAGTCGATCATAGTCATCTTTGTTTAACAAATCTCTGATACGTGACAAATTTCAAGCTGAGAAAAAGTACCAGCCACACACAGTAGAAACTAATTTATTAAGTCTGAGGAACTTATGCTCTTTCGTTCTCACAGAAAACCCGGAATGTATTCAAGTTGATCCAGCTATTGTGCAAAAAGTTGCAGAGAATGCGCGTCTATGGTTATCGTCCTACAGAAAGGACAGCAACCGCCGTCACTTACAAAAACAGAGTGAAGATCTTTAGAAGTTAGTTACGCCAGACATGGTGTCCATGTTTGAAAATAATGATTCAGCTTGGAAAGCAGTTGCTTACATGGGCCAATTTAGTGGAGCACACTCCCTACATATGAATCAGTCGATCTACACACTAGTAAGAGGTTTTATTTCAACAGAAATGACAATTGCAAATGCCCACCGATCTGGGGTTCTGGCCAATATGACAATTGGAGAGCTGGAGGAAGCCAAGGAGACCAAGCAACTTTATTCTCATATCTGAAAGTTTACGTCAGTGAAATGCGCCGTCAAGTTTCAAATTCAGGGAGCAAGTACATTGATGACAGGTCAATGCCTGTTTTTTTGTCATGGAACGGAGCAAAACTTGAATCTGGGCAACTTTCTACTGCTATCAATGCTGCTTGGAAGAAGGTAGGGATGGAAGGGCATGTTTCTTTCACAATATTTTCGGAAGTCAACCGTCACAAAGGTTCATGGAGATCACGAAGAAATGAAAGGTTATCTAGCTGATCTTATGGGTCACAAGACAACAACTGCAGTATAAAGTTACGTTTAGTTTAAGATTACTGAAAGGTATTGTTAATTACTGAAAGGTATTGTTAATTACTGAAAGGTATTGTTAATTACTGAAAGGCATAGTTAATTGAAAGGTATTCTGAGGTATCAAAGGAACAAAACGTAACCTCAGGCAAAGTTTAAAGATTGTTGAAAGGCACAGTAAACTGAAAACTATTCTGTGGTATCAAGGGACCAATAATCCAGTTAAATTGTGTTGCATGCATGTGCAGTTGTTTATAAGATCTAAAACAAACCGTTCTAACAGAAGATAGAGCAACTTTACTACACCGGTGCAAACTCTACGAGATGGGCACTGGCACAGTCAGACGCAGAAATTAATTGCTAGAAAGTACACAAAAAGGACAAACGAGTTCATACGTTCTTCTAAAAGTCTCAAAATGCTTGTCCTTGAAAAAGAGATGAATATTCAGTGAAGATGTCAATTAAATGTTGGCATTTATTGTGACACCGGACCGACGATTTAATTGAAATCGGTATGCGTTGCAAGACGTGAATATGGGCAGTGTTCTCATTATTATTTATCGTTCTCGTGTTAAATTAAAGGATGTTTTCCTTTATGTTCAATATTAGCTTGCTGAATGAGATATGGTTGAAATTGTTAATACACTTACATTTTCTGACGTTTAAGATCCACAACTTGAATTTTTCATTTAGAAATTCATCAAAACATACCACCCAATCACACTTTAAACTAACATTCTTCTAAAACAAAGATGAATTTATTACAGGTGGTCATGCCAGGGCTCCTTTCAAATAAGGAGTTAATCATTATATTTTTGAGGTGTTGCTTAGCCAGATTTTTGTCTTCTTGGACTTACTTCATGCGCCTCCTTTTTATATCTTGTTTTACAAAGTTTTTTCTTAAGATACATGGATCTATTACAAGAGAACATTGATAAATACCGACTTGCTCTACACTCCAATTTAATTATCCTTTGATATACCCTCACAGAACAATGCAACAAATACTTCTTCTCATATTGTGTCACTTTATTTAATCTTACCCGCTTCGTATTTAGCTTACAAACCTACTTGTGAGCGGGACGACGTATCGAGTCATTTGATGTACTACCAGCTATCCAGCGAAATCCTCGAGTGCAAGTTAACTTTGTCTCGTTCCGGTCATTTTGACCACGATATGGAAAAAATATAACAGTTATTGGTATGTTCTAAACATTCGAACACTTTAGGAAACATTGGAAATGCGGTGAAAGTACTTGTTAACAGCCACAGCATGAGGGAAAATGTGAGACTGACTGGAGATGTTTTCGAAGTTTTCGGAATTAAAGTTGTAGTCGGATCATATGGGTAATATATTTGCAATTTCTCGTGAGTGAAGGCTATTATTTAACAAAAAATTGATTCGTAAGTGCCTATCTGGGCTATCTGCACCAGCAGACAAAACCAGAATTCTCTTGACAAAATCAAAGGACAAATTGTGTCATGACGAATTTTTGTCTCGATTTTTGCATCCACTTAAAATTTCAAAACTGTCAAATTCCGTCAGCGCTTGATCTGCTCATGAAACCAGCTGGCATAGTTTGCCAATGGACTCAAACTCCAGTTTCCAGGATTCATCGTACGTCGTTTCAAAGTTTTAAAATTCACGAATTTCACGACAAAAGAAAGTTAATGCCTTCCAGGTAAATTTTAGTGAGTTCAATAACAAGCTGGTGGCACTGAGCTTTTTACGACAAATGGCGTTGAAAACTCAGTCTTCTTTCACTGCCTCACATTCTCCTTTTTGCTTTGGATGCTAAAAAATACTTTTACTACATTTCCAGTGTCTTCTCAGGTGTTCTGATGTTTAGAACATACGAATAACTGTTTCATTTTTTCCAAATCAGGGCTGAAATACCCAAAGCCACTCCAATCTTTGCTTTCCATGAATCAAGTAAGCATTTTAAAAGATAAAATTCTCATTAAAATGTAAAATTCTTCAGTCCATTTTAATAACTTTCGATTCTAATTCGTTACTTTAACTAAGTTTGGTTTCAATTTGTAGAACCCGCGAAACAAGGCCATATTGACAAGGAGAAAAGTTTGCATAATCACGTCACGCAATATATCAAGCTGGGTTTGTCCAATTGATTTTGATGGTCGCAGGCAAGTGTCGAGTTTGTCACTCAAAACTGTTGTGGTCCATCAGAACGTAACATCATTAATGACGGAAAAAAATTTGCAGAAAGGAGGGCTAGTTCATCGGGTTCCGTGTACTAAATCTCAGGAGAAACTGCAAGAATTGTTTCAAAGTGCATACGTGTTGTTTTGTAACTATAAACATTGTAACGTATTTTAACTTGTTTTTGAGTCCTTTTAAGCAACGCGATATGTCTGCTATGACCAGAGTGCCAAATTTTATTCTATAATTTTGATCTTCTCCACACTATGCTTAGTTCATGACTTGATATTTCAGCGTAAATTACCGAGA